ATATTTAATATATGTATATATATGTGTATATATACATATATATAGAATGAGGGAGTATCTACAATAGACGATGCCTTCGCCTCCTTAAACTTAAAGTCCAGTTTTACGCAAAAAAATAAATTGAATTATAATATAATAATACAGTGAGAGAATGCAAGGAACTTTGCGAAAGAGGAATATAACTTAAAGTAACAGACTTAGTTCTTAGCCGTATTTAATACGAAATACGTTCTGCTCTCAAATTTGAGGCGATGAATATATTTCGCTTCTTTTTTTTTTATCACAATTGTCTATACTTATCGATCACAAGCATTTCGATAATAAACTCGAATTACGAGTGACATAAAAAGACAAATCTAAAAATTCACATTACTTTAAAGTGTATCAATTTGCAAAACGTCTGCAGGAAATTGTCATAGATGCCATATACAATACTTTCTTCATGAGTGAACGATATTGTTAAATGGCACAATTTATATACAGAATGTTCTAAAGGTCGCTCTGATGTAAATATTTTTTGCACATACGATCAAAAAATTTTCAAAATTATTAATTATATCTATTTCTTTTAATGGTCGACAGGAGTGATGAGCTAACTCATTTATATCTCATTTGCGGTGTAGATGTGTATATATATATATATATATTAGAAAGTAATTATTACTTGTAACTAAGTTAGAATTACTTCCTTTTAATAGTTTTAACTTAATTTCTTTCCCCTCTTTACAAGCTGTAACTGTAAGCCTTTTTTCCAAATTCTGAACTAGTTACACTGGTGCAATAAGTTAGAGTGAGACAGATATAGTTTGTTTCACTCTAATTCATTGCACTAGTTCAGAAGATAAACGGTATGTTCAAAAATAAATTTGATTACTTCTTTTATTGTAGTACACTTATTTTCGAATGCATTAAAAGCTACTGTTTTAATCGCTTACATAAGCAATAGACAAAGCGGTAATCACAGTAGAGAATATAAAGTTTTATTACTGTTTTACATTTTCTATTGTGATTGGCTGTTTCGCTTAGTGTTTACATCTTACTGCCTTACATTTTTCTATGTAATTCTAGTTTAACAATTTCTATCTTTTAAATAAAATCGTATAACATATATTAGGTGTATAAATAAGTTTTCCGTCGTTTTTTCATCAAAAAATTGGCATTTATTGTAAAAGAACGGTACCTAAGGTTTTATTCGAAGTATTGTCCATCGCTAGCCACTACTTTTTCCCATCTTTCTGGTAATTGGTGGATATCATGTCGAAAAAACAAAAAACGTCGAAACTACATTCTTTGTCTTCTTAAACTTTTGAAACCACTTACGGCAACTTCTCTCACTTAAGCAGCCTCACCATATGCTTCTACAAGCAATCGATGCGCCTCAGCTGCAGATTTCTTCAAATTAAAGAAGCTCCCGCAAATGACGCTTATTCGGCTCAAAACTCGATATTTTCACACGAAAAAAGATATATTCTTCTTCTTCTTTAATTAATGGCTCCCGCCTCTAAATAATAGAATAGGAGGTTGATACGGCCAGATCACGTCTTTAATGTAAACCGTATAAATATGAAAACAAATGGATGATGCAAAAAAGATATTATATTGTTAAACAATGTCTAAATTAAGTATCGACTAATTAAATGTTTTATTGTATGAACAAATATCTTTTTGACTCATATCGCCCTTGACATCATTTATTTATTTTTATATAACGAGTCATTGTTTCTTTTGTATTAATTTTTCAAAAAAGATATATAATGCTGATACAAAATCGCTAATATTTCAAGGTTATGCTGTTGCCAGATGTCCAACTTTACGATATGACATTTTACAGCAGACAATTTTAACCATAACATACTGGTGGCGCCATCTTTTGTCAAACGGCGGAAACTTATTTATACTCCTAATAAAAAAAATTATAAACCATTCTTAAGATATAAACCAATCTTTTTCTTTTTTGATCCTAATAATATCAAAATGTACTTATGTTCTATAATGGTAACAGAAAAGTAACTGAAAAGTAACTCATTATTTTTATAAAATAACTTTTCCAATCCAGCATTCTATATATTGTAGAGTAGAAGAAATATTTTAGCATGAAACTTTTTTTTTTCTTATATTTTATGAAACTACAAAGCCTACTAAAGAACAAAGCAGAATTTTACAATTTTGTTTTTAAAAGCATAATAATTGATAAAATTATCTGCTTCTTACTCGCAAATACATGTCTGTATACTATTTTATCTCCTAGAAATAATATTGCGTTATCACATATTTTTATCTTTTTTTTTTATAAAATTACAAAGGCGCATACACAGCAGAATTTTTGTTCTTAAAACATTATAATAAACAAAATTATCTGCACCTCAACTGTAGTATAATGCAAATCGAGTGAGATATTGTATAAAATACATATTTTTATTTTATCTTTTTTACCAATAAAAACGTTCTGTATGAGCCTTTAAACGACTTTTATAATTACGAATGTCATAATTATATTGTGATTTTCTCAAGATTTTAGCTGTAATTTCAGCTGAAAAATTCATCTTATATCTTAAAGAAAGTCATCAACAGAAGTTTCTTTAGTTTTTCCTGTCGACCCTTAAAAGTTTACGCGCGCGCGTGTGAGTGGATTCTGCTATTAATAATTTTCCAACTACTATAATCTTGTATAGCTTAATCAAATGTAACATATTTCTTAAGTTATAAACCACGACATAAAAATTCAATCTAATGTAATAAGGAACCTGTCTAATTAATATAATTTTAATAAAGCGACATTTTGGACACTCTATATACATATACATTTTGACAATTGTAATTAAATATTCTAAAGAATGTTAAATAGGAGTTGAAATTGGTGTAATTTCGTTAAGCTTGAGTCACTTAAAACTTATCGAAATTATACTAATTAGAATACATTATACTTGATAATATCGTACACTAAATAATTAGTGTCTGTTAATTTTGATTAGTTCAATTTTATACCAACGTATAAAATATTTTGTTTCCGTAGACAGAAGAGATTTTTGATTGCTTAAAATTTTCTTGTCATTGTTTCTGTTGCACGAGAAACGGAGAATTGAACTATTCGCATTGTTACATTGTTCAATGTTATCGTCTGATTTTATCCTTAAAAAATTGAGAAGTCCAATATGAATGTTTATACAAGTCATATTGTGTCGAGTAATAAATATTTTAGTTGCAAATTGTTTGACAAATTTATAATATTATTTATTTTTTTAACAAAAGATCCAAAAACATGAAAAACAAAATTACATTATCAACTGATAAATGAATATACGTTTACGAAATTTATTTTCTGTGCAGAGAAACACCTTCAACTTCAATATCAATATTTTAATATTATTTTCGCTTCGAGCTTTTCATTTCGAGATAATTTATCGATATTTTTAAAAGTTTGTATCATAAAAATCATAAATCTGTCAAAGAAAATTTGTTTCTAAAATATTTGCTTGTTCTGGAACTTCCTATATAAAAATGGCTACCTCTCGTAAGCATTCTCATTTAGCATTACATGTAACTATTTTAAACTTCGTTTAAATACTTTCTTTAAAAATGAAGAATGTATTTCGTTGATATAACAAAAGATAATCCATAGTAACATCTAATGTGCGGTGAGAAATGTCCATGTGAATGCGTAATCAGCAAAGACGACAAAAAGATAATCATTAAAGATAATGAATCTGAGACCTATCCATAATCGCGGCAGTGGATATGAAGATAATTATATTATTATGTAAATCATTGGTTTTCTTCGTCTTTCAAAGTTGTGTCGCTTCAAAATACTTATGTAAATATATGTATGTGCATGTATAAAATGTTATTTATATATATTTTATATAAAAGTATTCGCTAAACTATTTCAAGGAGATAAGTATATTTTTTTCTTTTATTTAGTAATTTTAGATCTAATGCAATTATAATAAAGAAAATAGATTTATTAAATACAAATCTTGCAGTATCATATAATCTTCTATTATTTATATATTTTTAGATAATTCAGATAGCTTCCTAAGCAAAAATAAAAGTGTAGGCTATTCTTTTCATTTTTAAAAGCAATAATATTAAAACAAAATACTAATCTTTTTTAAACCATTTCTTTAATAATAAAAAAACAGCTAATTTTATTTTATTTATAATTTTAATACTATTTCTTAATTATTTTAAACTATAATGATAGAATAAAATAGAATTTAATATAATAAATATAAATTATAATTAATTTAACACATCACTCAATAAGTCCCGGACCTGACATAATAGATGGCGCACTAATAACAAATCCATATGATTTTTAGAAAGTACTAAATCTCCAAACATACGTGTCAAAATTTTAGCTCAATCCGACCTTTACTTTACAAGTTACAGTGATTTAAGTGACGCTACTTTATGTCCGGCTCGGGACTTATTGAGTGATGTGTTAAATATAAGGTTCAAATCTTTTGATTCATTATAATAATCCATACATATAAATAAAAATGTATGAATTTTTTCTTTTTTTATAAATACATTTTTTAAATATCGCAAAAAAATATTTTTGCCAATTTCTTTAAAATATGAAACATTGTTAATTTATATTTTGCGAAAGACGAAGAGAACCAATGGATTGAATGTCACGAAATTCTGCGTGAATTAAATAGTAAAGAAAAAGGAACTAAAGCAAAACGATATCAACTACTTTGTACGATTACGAATTGTTCGAAGAAAGAGCACCATGGCTTCGATCTACATAGACAGTCCAGAGAGGAAATCGCGACGCATCCCATCGCCATTATAATGACGAAGGAAATCTTGTTGTCAAACAACGACACCTATAAGTTTATTATCGCAATGAGACTATTCGAGGAGGACAAACAGCCATCATATATTACACTGACGATTATACTACTAATGCTAAATAGAATATTGTATACACTTAGCGAAAGAGCGAAGAGGAGACCAGACCAGACTTGGGCGGCGAACTTATCACCAGCCCATTGTCATCTGGGAGTAGATTCCGTCTGCCTGACTTTGTCAAAGTGGCGTCGGTAATGAGCTCGACCGCGACCTCGGTGGCGATGGCCATGATTGTGATTGTTGTGACCGTGATTGTGCTGCATCTGACGTGATTGATATTGTGAGTGATGATGATTCTGTGACTGGTGCGTCGACTGCTTAGAGTGTTGCTACGATAAAAATAAAAAATATTTATTTCAGTTAATTAAAGATTCGATGTGTCAAATTAGAATTGAATGATAAGAAATATACCAGATTAAGTAAATAATTATTGATAATAATTCCTGGTAGAAACTTTGTTAATTATATTTAAAATTAATCTATTTTTTGAAGCTTTGATAAGAAAATATCCTGTGTTATTCTATCAAGTGTAAAATTATGTACAATATTATAATATTTGTTTAATCTGATTAATATAAAATTTGAAGTAAACATCAAATTTAATTTTAATACTGCAGATATTTTAGAATTTTTGGAAAAAAAAACTCAACATTAGAACAAATTGTTAATAATTAAAAAAAAACATTAGAACAGATTATTTTATCATTATTGTAACACTTAGTCATTTTCCTTTATTTTTCAATATTTTAATGGAATTTATTATGAGTTTAGCATATTCTGTTAAAACAATATCGTCCAATGCACTGTATCGCAATCATTGAGACGACTGATTACTTACCATTTGTGTGACTGATTGCATGGTGGTGGTATTCGAATATGCATTCAAACTCGTACCGGGTGGACTGACTTCTTCTGCAGCAGCCACAGGATCATCCTCTGTCCTCACCAACATCTTCACGCCTTCGGCTTCTAGATCGATTATACCGCCTCGCTGTTGCTGCCGCAGATACAGAGCAGCCATGTGCTTCTGCAGTTCCCTCAATTCGGCGGTGACAGAGAAATCGGTGGCAGCTTCGACGTCAATCGGCGGCGGCGCTGACCACAAGCTCTCAACGTCGCAGTTGATTGATTCTCGGCAAACGGGACATATAGCCTAACAAAATGAACATTTATGAATAAATATAAATACAGAATATAAAAGATGAACATTAGCAAATGTTATTACAATAACGGTGAAAAGAAATATGTATTTTTTAGTAATATTTTATTTGTAACACAAACATACTTGGAACTTATTTGTAGTATCCTGTTGCCATTGCGGTAATTTCTCTTGCTCTTCCCTGTAATATCTCTCGGCAGCGGCGACGTGTGCCGCCAAACAGTGTGAATGAAAATAATGATAGCATTCCGTCTTCGTAAATTCATCTCCTTCTCGAAAACCATACAAGCATACGGCGCACTGATCAGTGGGAAGATTGCTTCTTGTCAGATGTTCTCGTATTAACTGGATTATTACCATTATCATTGAATTAAAATTAATATTATTATTATTATGTATTATTATTATACTATTATACTATAATAATTAAAATTGCTATTATCATTGTCACCGCATTTTTATCAATATATCTAATACTGAATGAAATAATTATCTGTTCATAAGTGGTATTTTTTACTATAATTTTTATATAAAAATCAAAACAAAAGATTCTATATTTATCGTATTTTATTCTGAATTAGAATATACAAGTTTTTTATTGTATCACGTTTTATTTGATTGCAAAACCATGTAAAAAAATTATCAATATAAATTGTAAATTATAAAATAAATAAGATACAAATTAATCAAAGATCTAATTTGTGAATTAAACATAATTACTATTAATTATATATAATTATGTATAATTTTAATAATATAAACAATTTTAAATATTTTTATATAGTAGTAACTAATAAGGTTAATAATCTTATATGAAGACTCTAAATATCTCTATATCTATATCTATATATTTAATTTTGATAAATATATTTTCTCTAGAAAATATATATCTATATTGCATAGATACCAACATTGCAATTATCTAGTGAGTATTTTAAAGATATATATACATACATATATATATTATATATATTATATATGTATAACTTTTATATACATATATATTTTTTTTGTTCTTACAATTTGAATATTAAAATAAGAATTACATAAGTATATAAAAAAAAAAACATAAAAGTATGAACTTATTGTATAAGATGATAATTCATTTCATGAAGAATAAATTAATACATGTATAATACAAAAACATAAATTATGGAAATTACTGAGATATTAATAATAGATCCATTATATTATTTTTTTACAAAGTGATTGTAAAGAGAGGAAAATTATTTTCAAAAAGAAACTGATAGAATAACTTCTTACCTCAATTAATTCAAACATGACTGGCTGACCTATGAAATCTTTACATTTGGCTTCAGCATCAGATTGCATCAGCTTTACCGTATTCTCGTCCAATCCTCTTGGATTTCTTAAATTGATAGTCGGTGAAATGTCAGGATAACCCGAAGGTAATCGTACAATCAGTGTAACACAAACATATTGCGATTGTGAGTCCTCGCCGGTTGATGGAAATAGTATTGTTTCGATATATTCTGGCTCCCCTCTAGATAGACATAATTAATCAATAATATGTAAAAAAAGAACTGAATAAAATTATAATTTTAGCTAACATATGTTGAATAAAAAATTACAGTTATGTGGTCAACAATGTATGATAATTTTTTAGATACTTAATACAGCAAAATTATAATTAACACACTGTATGCTGATTCCGTCACAATAGGATTATATCGTAAAAATGGAATCATCCCGATAAATTGAAAACGCGAATTACAAGCCTATCAAACCATTTTGTCGACAACACTATCAAATGTGTTGCGATTTAGACATTGAATTGCTCTCTGCATTCGTAGTCAGAGACAGCAGTTCGAACATGTACGAAGGTGATTATTAAAGTTCATTGGCTATTTCATTTTCAATATCCTTGAGTTATACTGCATTGAACTCGTAATAAATATGGTTACAAATGTAGGTGTTTAAAAAATTAAATTTTCATTTACAAAAATAAAGTTGATCTTTAATGTGTCCATCCAAGGTCAAACCCTGTTTATCAAAATATGTCTCTCTCCATACCAAAATGAAAATAGTATTTCGATATCTTGCATAGTTCCAGAGAAATTAAAAAAAACATTCTTATATCATCAAACATAATATAAGAAATGTTTATTACAAAAATTATAATAAAATAAATCTTTTCATTCATAAAAAGTACATTTTTGCCTTTTTGTAATCTTACTATTGAAAGTCATTTATCCCCACATATAGGGTGACTAAATTGACATGTAAAAAAATATAAATTTTAAAAAATTCTAATTTATTTAACAATTTTTTTAATTTTTACAAATGATAATCAAAATTGTAGTAAAAATATACATTGTCCTTTTTATCCTCTCATAGAAATTAGAAGAAATAGACAAACCTTAAGCTTGTCATCTTACACCTCTTTTTCATACCTTTCGGTATGTTTGAAACATTCAGAATTCATGTTCATGGAATATATAATATTGTACAATTCTCTGGACTAAAAGAATTAACTTTTTCTCTGGCAAAATTATATTCAAATAGTATTTTTCTCTTATTTTTTGACATAAAAAATCATATTATGTTATTAGAAAATTATAATATCCTATGTGCATGTAAATAATTTTTAATAATTCTATGTATACATATACCTATCATTTTCCTTGATGTTAAGTTCATTATCCAATAGGATTGCTTTCAATGCCTCAATCTCATCAGTCACTCTGTAAACACCATAAACAATGGCATTTGAATATATATAGTCTTAATTTAAAATAACTAAACCTATTTAGAATAATCAAAATGATTAATTTAATAAATCTGTTACATGATGTATAGAAGATCTACTGCCATTTTAGATTTACAAAGGCAAATCCATTTAATAATTCGCATCTTTATTTGAAAATTGACAGACATTTCCATCTTTCTTTTTCTCATACACGACATGGAAATATCGTTTAAATAAAGTAAATATTATGAAAATAATTGACAAAAGAATACATGAAATAAAAATTGGCAATAAAAATAGAATAATTGTGTTAATGGTGAGTCTACGTAATATATGTCGCAAATTGACAAAGCAAAACGTATGACTAAAATTATTAGGATACATATATTATTAAACAGAGTAAAAAAACGAATCGATAAAACGTAATCGGAGAATATCTTTCAGGACGGCCGAAGGGACTTTACTCAATCGAAGTAACATCGTGAATTCCAGGAGGGATGTCAGATCAATTCATGTTAATTATTGACTAATATTGATGATAGTTACCGTTCATCCATCATCGCGTCCGACATGGTTTCCCGTTTCAGTGAACGTCGCCGAAAAGCCGTATTTCTTTAGCCGTGAAAGGCAACTTCTTTCGAGGATAAACGATCACTTACTCTCGCAAACTATACGACACAATCGCGATGAGAGCGTCGAATCACATCGAATACGCCATACGAATTACGATACGCGTCGATATTGAAATCTTTCTGCTAGCACAGCCAGAGGACGAGCGAATTCGATTGACATTATTGGCTCGCCTGTTCACCAATCACCATTCACCACTATGGGCAGGAGCAGACCGTTCATTGGTTCAGCGCCGCTCTTGTCCGACAATTTGAAAATTGGCCTAATGTCCATGCATGATATCCTTAGGGTGCAGCCACAATAGAAGGAATAAGGAATAAGAAATTTCAGCCTATCAAAAACTATGTATACCAATGTATTCGATTTCTGATAGGTTGAAATTTTATAATCCTTCTATGTGGCTGCACCCTTTCTTGAAAAATATTGCATACGTAAAAATAGGGAAATACTATATATAGATTGTCCAGTTCTATTTTAATTAATTATACGATATAGTCATAATTCTATTTGCAAAAAATGGATTTTTTTATCTTGATTATATGAAACTTTATAAGAAATACATCTACAGTAGATAATTTATTATTTATTGAAAACTTTACTATAAAAAAAAATTTTAACATAAAAAAAACTCTTCAAATATACCTTAAAATTTATTTGGATGATATATATAATATATATAATACATTATATTATTTATTTTGTATATGTAAGATATATCTTTTAATAGACATATATACCTACATATATTATTACCGTATATATCAATCATCAATTACAATTACATAATAATATCAGGAAATATTTTAAAATACACTATTAATATTAAATATTATGATAAATATGTGTGCCTCAACATTTTTATTATTCTTTTTGACACATGTGGCCCATACACCACTGACCAATATATATACGATTATTTGCTCTATCCACCAGAATGCCTTTGCCATGTCGAAGACCATCTACAAAATTGCCTTCATACCAACAGTTATTGTTCCACTTCAAGAGACCTTTCCCCTGAATTTTATTTTGTTCGAATTGGCCCTGCATAATTTTTTAAATTTATTCTTACTAAAATTATTACAAATTTTCCTATTTATATTAGATTTATTCTTGCTAATTCAAATATAATATTATAGAGTAAAAAATTATATTGACTCAATTAATTTTGAAACTCGCATGTATTGTTGTATTAAAAAAAAATATTAAATTTAAAATATTTTCTATTATAATATATGTGTATATTTTAAGTATAAATATAATCCCATATTTAGCGCTTCTGTTCGATACGTAGGCGGTTCTCTTTTATTTATAAAATCTTATTTTTTTATATAATATAAACTAGTATATATAATATTAATATCTCACACACACACACACACGCGCGCGCGCGCACACACAATTCTTATTGGACTGCTAAATTTCAAACCGAATGAGACTGTCACAGTGGTCTAATAAGCTGGTTCTAAATATAGTTATGTGTGAATTTATATATAAATATACTATATATGTAATTATTCAATTGCGCGACGAAACTTTTTCAGGCTTGAAACGTAACGTACACTAATAATTATATATTACATCATGAGTTAAATTGACTAACAATTTAACGATTATTGATACTGTTTACACATCTTATATCGATCTTAATAATGTTGAATAATCTATTAAAATGTAAATGATTAAGTTTTAATTGCGAAAAATATTACCTCGGTCGGAAGTCAAACCCGGATCTTTGGTATTTCGTGCGAGAGTTAGGACTTGGTAGTCCGCTAAAGCCTTTAGACTACCAAAAGTCTTAATAACTAATATAATATATAATTATATTGTTATTATATTATTATATAATATAATAATATCATTTTTATATTATCATATAATATTTAGTATAATATAAACTTTCATAGTGTATAAACTACATTCTAAATGCGCGCTAACATTGTTATAAGCTAGAGCATTTTGAGTATAAACTATAAATTTTCTTATTTTTATGTTACATTTTAAATATGACCCAAATATATTTATTACTATTAATACCTTATATTGAACGCCATTGTACCACGTGTAGGTTCCTTCACCTTCCATCATTTTCCTACTAATGCGACCGCAATAAGAATTATTGTTATAAAATTTTATGTCTACAAATTCATCCGGTAGTGACAACTTCCAAAATGGAACGGTTATTATTTTATTCTTTTTGTCTTGTTCTTCTATGAACAAAACATCATTTTTGTTATAATCATCGAGTTTTTCATTTTCCTCTATTATTTTAGCATCGTCCTGATTAAATTTCTTCGTAAACTGTTTCTTTCGTAAGAAATATTCGTTCCATCTGAATTGAACAAAACGAATTAATAATGTAATAATAGTTTTTAGTTGTATATATTGCATTAAAACATAATTATGATACTTGGTTACAAAGGCTGGAAGTATGTTGTTGTACAATGAATAGATAAACTCTTGTTTAGTCGTATATTTACGGCGTTTCTCAGCCAATACATCTTCGAATGGTAATTCTTCGGTCGTAGTTTTTTCAGTTTCTACTGAGATTACGTCTTCCTCATATAAATCTTCTTCTTTAAATTCTTCATCGTTTTCCATTTTATCAGGAAAAATTAAAGATTCCGTCTTCTTTCTACATTTACGTAAAATTTCTTCCTGTAATGTTTTCATATCTAATTCTTTTATCGCGTGCTCCATGTTTTATATATATTTGTATATACAATTAATGTTATATATAAAAATCATGATGACTCATGAATTATGTGTAAGATTATAATAAGCAGTATAAAAATGTATGTATAAAACTATATTCACGTGATATATAAAATGACATAATAAAAAGTAGGTTGTTGAATCATTATGTCATTTTTGTAGATATTTAATAAAGAAGTTACTTAATGAGTATCGACTAACAAACGTTTCATTTCTACATTTAATTTATGAAAAGAAAATATACACACATCTATATAGATATAAAACACAAAATGCTGAAAAAGGAGAAAATAACCGTAAGACTACATTAATTTGCATTAATTTACATTAATCTGCACATGAATGTTTTAGATATAAAAATTATATATTTTTTAAATAAAAAATATAATATCTAATAAATCTAAAATGTTAATTATTATATAATTTTATTCCGTCGCATATATATTTTTAACAAATATTTGATTTAAAAGATATGTATTGTATCATAAAAATATAATGTATAGAAACATAATAATATAAGAATATGAAAAATATTTTATTTTCGATCTGTAAAAGTATGTGTACATATATAATATACTTAAAATTTAACAGTTTTTGATTATTACTTTCTGTAGAGTTTTTTACATATTTCTTTTGTATTACAGTCTATCTCATCTTATAGTAATGAAGATGAAAACAATGAGCCTATTATATTTCATGTTCCAGCAGTGTATAATGATAAAGTTAAAATTCATGATTGGTTAGTATTGCAATCTATTTCTATTTATTAGAATAAACTTAATAATGTAAAAAATATTATATTTAATAATTAAAACATCTATTAATATTTTAGAGATACCAGAGAATGTCAAAAATATTATTTTATTTACTTTTAATTATATTATATGTAATTAAAATTTTATTTAAAATTTCACTTTTAAAATCTTTAATTTTTAATATAATAACAAATTGAATATTTATTGCAAAATGATTTTGTTTTTTTCACTAAATTCGTTCTTATATGTTTTCTTAACTATCTATTTCATTTATATAAATCTTTTAACTTTCTAATTAGATATACATAATTTTTTTAACGATCCATTTTTCTGTAAGTAAGAAAAAACTTTTACATGCGAGAATTCATGCATATTATTTACATAAATAAATCATGATAAAATTATGTACATGCAAGTATATCACACATGCATTTATATAAGGAAACATGGGGGAGTAGTTACCGTGGAGAAAACCATGTGTTGTTAATCATAGCAACGTATAGTACTTTATTTCACACTTTACAAGAATATTCTCGTTTTTGTGTGTCGTTTTTAGAGATATAGTACAAGTTTATGTAATATTTGAATTATTTAACGTGATAATAATTATTATTTAAAAAAATATCATTTTGCATCAAGATAAATCCTTATTGTTGTCAGAAAAAATAGAAAAGTAAGTATACATACAAAATATACATATGTACGTGTCTGTATGAAATACATATATTTTTTTATTCCCGCTAACTAATTGAAAAGTTATATAGTTGTTTTTAGTAAGAAACATCGATGTTTTTTTAATATCTTTTGCATTTAAATAAAACTCAAATTTCTTAATGTTTTTTATTTGAACTAATTAACAGGCAAATGAAAACTTTATCAGAGCCTAGAGATAACGTGGATATATTTCCACCGCATGGGAATCTTCACAAATCCTCATATCAAAGACTTGGACCAGAAAACGAAGTCATTGGAATTTCAGAGACATCCGCTATGTTATCACAAATTAAATTAAAAGATGAATATAAGCCGGTTGCTTATCCACGACGTAGTTTACTCACAATGCAATCGCTCGCTTCAGCGGAGTATGTCTTATATGTTTATATTTCCAAAAATAAATTATACATATGTATATATTTAAAGAATTTATTTTACAACAATAAAACTTTTATCTTTGGAATATCTCTCAAGAATAATTAATTTACAATTTTCTACTGTTGTTTTTTATCTTTTTGCTATAAAGAGTAAAAAAACTGCTAAAAATACGTTGCTCTTCCTCTTTATAATATCTGAATATTTAATATAATTTAATATCAATGTAATTTAATGTTACTTATATATTATTAATATTAATTATAAGATTATTATTACTTTATAAATATTAGTTATAAAAATTGATTTAAAATTTTTTTTTAATTTATTTTGGAAACATTAGGAAGGATTACGAGGAAAAAATATTAAAATTGACGGACATCCTTTTGGATCCCATGGTCAGTTGTCAGATGAATTATTACACCACTACAAGCAGTGATTATCGGTTGCCTTATCCTCTGAAACCAAAACCACCACCATCATCACCACTATCTGAACCGTGGTTATTAAATCGACGTACCATTGGCTATAATCTTCAGGCTTTGGAAAATCGTTGCGGATACCATACATTTTTAGATGATAATATGGATCTTCATCAAAGAATAGCAGAATTGAAAATGCAAAGAAGGAAACTGTATGAAATTTTAACAAATACTGAACATCAACAAGATTCTATTAATAATTAAAAAGTTTTCATATAAAAATATATAAAACTATTATTTTATGAAAAAGATTTATATGCACGCACTAAGATGAAAGAAGAAAATATTTATTGCAAAGTTATTTAAAGTGTTAGATAAATCTAAACTAGAATATCTTGAAGAAATTAGGGATACCTAACGAGAATAATATACAGAATAAATGTAATGATTATCCATTTATTCATAAAAATAAGATACGTAAGAACTAACAGAATATTTTTTGGCGAGTAGGAGCTGATTTTATTTCTACATTTCATCATGTCTCATTTTCGGTACATTTTAACACACAAAAGAAGTTGAATTGGTTAAAATTTACGGGTTTTTAAAATAATGTCTTTAAATTTTTACCATTTATAAAATTTATAAAATGTTATCCCTTTAATAAATGAAAGCGTCATTGTGTTGTAATATTCGAAGGAAATATAGTAGAGTTATAAAATTATAAATTCGAGATAATGAACTTGTCAGCGTATTTTTGAAAAGCGCAGATTAAATTCACAGTATAAAGAACGAAGATGAAGAAACTGGAGAAGGTAGAATAACGTGATACGATCGTGCAATAGCTGCAATGTAAAATATATTCTATCTACATCTAGCACACGAGTGTGAACGATTACTATCTAATAGAGAAACCCGGCATGATGATGTTTTATTCAACATTTCTGCCAAGTCGCAAATGCCCATACTCTTCGTCGTCACCATTGGACCGCTTGCCGAATCTCATGTGACCGTAATCGTCCAGCTGCTGGCGTTTGCTGAGTCGTAGATTATCCTCGTCTTCGCCGACGAGATCCTCTACGAGATCCTTCACGAGGCCTTCTACGGCGTACCTGCGACAAGACACGCGATACATAGAAGAATATCATTCATGCCTATTTTTAATATATAATTCTTTTAACTCGTGTCAAGTTACACCGACATCTAATTTTATCGTTCAATTCTTCAGTTCGATTTGTAAGTATACTCGCTTATATACGTATATGTTCTAAAACTTTAAAATATGCTCGACGGGAGACGCGGTAGCTACCTCGTCTTTTGTCAAGTATATTTTAAAGTTTTAGTACACATATACCGACAGCAATTACCCGCGGATATGTGGATGATTTCCTAAATTGCGATGGACGCCACTGATTAATCCAGGGGCTGCTTTACATCTTCCACAGAATAGCCACATGATCGCGATCATGTAAGACAGTGCAAGAGTCAAATTCATGTCTGTAATCATATTAATTATTTTTTTACTGCAAATTGTTGCCAAAAATATAAAGGGATTGTTAATCACTGAATATACTTAATTTTTTTTGTAATAGCAATGATCTATAACGATAGTTGGATTATAACGTAATCTTCATTTTTTTATGAGATTCTTTGAAGTAAATGTATGAAATTGAAATAAGTATTTTCAATAAATGCTACGAGTCGAATTATTTGGTTTCTATTTCCCATATATTGTCAAGAATCTATATTGATTTTAATTAGTTTACTTAATTAATAATTATAGATCTATACTTTATAAGAATAATACTATAATTACAATAAAAGTTTAGAAATATCGTTCCATTAATTCAAATATGACTTAAAAAATGTGAACCGAAAAGTGTAACATTTATATTTATTATCTATTTTTTATTTATTATCTTATTTTAAAGGCGAATTATCGTTAAGTAATGTCTAAATTAAGTAGTGACTAATTAAATGTTTTATTGTTTTATTGTTTGAACAAATATCTTTTTGACTCATATCGCCCTTGACATCATTTATTTATTTTTAAAAAATGTGATTTTTGAGTTATTATTACATGAATGAGTTAAGTGTATGAGAGAATCACTCTGTCAATAATTAAAAATAAATTAACTTACTCATAAAAAATCGTTGAAATCGCAAAAAGAATAGTTTTTTGAAGATTTCAAAGTAAAAATGACAAAAATAACATTTGTAATCATATTAAGAATGTATTCTTTTTTCCGATATTATTCGATTAGTCAATAATTTTCTGTAATGTCAAATTAAAAATAGTTTTTTTTCATTTTTTTTTTTCTTGGAAGCTTAATTTTTTAAGTTAACTGTGTTATACTTTGAACTGTATACATCATATAAATATACCTTTATTATAGATAATACATATAATATATCATAACAGTTATTAAAGATAAAAAAGTAATTAAAATTTTATTAAGAATAATAAAGTATAAGATACTTGTTACATGTTAGATACAGTAAGTAAAAAGTACACGTATCTTCAATATACGTTCAAAAATCCATGATCTCTAATAAAAGGGAATAATGCATAAAATTAATATTCTTATACTTTTATTATTACTAAGTATTGTATTTGATATAAAATATATATATATATTAAATATATTAAATATTTCATTAAAAGTTTTCTTGTCTATCAATAAGTAATTTATTGTATGTGTGTGCGTTTATCAAGAAGTTATTTAAATCTCATACATTCAGGGGCCTTCAACTGATTCGGTGAGCAAACATCGGTGCAAGCAGTGTGACTTTTCGACAAGTCCCAGGATCCACGGGTTCCCACAAGAAGACTTAAGAATTATCTAAAGCCTATTCTACAATGTGCTTGTTTTCCGTTTTTTTTTTGTTCTTTTGCTATTTTTCACATCAACAATATTATCAAGAAATTTATATCGATTAAAGTTTGAAAAGGTGTTTATAAATGCAAATAAAATATTAAAAAATTCTGATCACTCATACAGCAAAGAAGTTTACATTGTTGTAATATTTGCAATATTGTAACAATATTACTGAAATGTTACAATGACGCAAAAAAGATCTGTGCTATATAGGAATTGTCTTGAATTAATAGTAATGCCCGGCTCTCTCAACCGTATAATAATATTTTTGAAGAAAAGTTGTTTCTAAAATTAACAAGAAGATGCTACGATAATAGATCATTTATTTGTGTGCATTTTGGTACAAGTGTAATAAAAATTTATTAAATTAAAAACTTATTACTGTATATACAGTTTTCTTTGCCTTTTAATTTCATACGACCGTATTCCTTGATATCAAGAATTAATTAAAAACAAATAAAAGCAAAGAAAAAACGGAGAAAACAGTTTAATAATGTTTTTAACAAATGTAAGTAATAATACATATTAACGATCGATTGAATTATAATAAACGAGATATCGAAAATCGCTCGGTGAATTTGTCCGCGTCTATAAATTGTAAGAACTTGCGAATGTGTAAGGAGATAGTGATACAAAACAATTCTATGCCCACTTACCTGCGGGTACTGAATGTCGGGGAAATCGGCGACGGAATGTATACGAAAAGCACAGCGGTGGCTTTTTATATCGCAACCGACATCATTCCCCTTCCTGGAGCTAAAAAAAAACGCGCGGGGGTGAAATCGCGTGCGGGATGGTGTTGAATTTTAATTCACTGCTGCAAGTACCGATAAACAATTTTCTTCCGTCTTTCTGTGAACCATTTCCGCCACTAACCATTTCAATATTCCACGATGTTACGCGATGATTGGCAGGGCACCGGCTAAACGTATTACCGATGTCACGTCCTGGCTTTTTTATATTCCCTTCTGTGAAAAACTCATAAGAAAACTCAGACATTAAAATCCTCTGGGATGGAAGTGTGGGCAGCGACCGTTGATAAATAACGACATGAACAAGCGTACTTATCTATCGACTATGAGGTATTTTTATGTAGCCACTTCTTTTGATTGTCCGATTAAAAGGTAAGTACACTGACGAGAACAATAAATGCAAATAATAAATTATTATACGTAAGATAAAATATTTTAATATAGGAGTTTTAATTATTGTTTTAATAAACAATTCTAAAGATTTAATTTAATAAATTTGTATTATATTAAAATTTATACGAATTCGTTCCAATCGCATTATTTTTTAATTACAGATGTATTTATATGTATGTATTTTCTTGAAGATTTACCTTATAAATTTTTAATGAAGATTACCTTATAGATTTTTAATGTCAAGCTCAATTTGACATAAATGTTATATATATATATATGTATGTGGCGTCGAGTGGCTCACCGCTCTGTGCGATTGACTCGCGATTTGTAGACCCGAGTTCAATCCCACGTGCGCCCAAACGCGATGATTTTTCGCGTTTAATGAGCCAAAAAATGGCTCCACCTGGTGATCAAAAGATCTATGATCATCAGCGCCGTTCGGATTCGGCGTTAAAAACTGTAGGTCCTATACATCAGTAGTATATCAGTAGATATTTGTCTCTAATATCTAACTGAGGTAGGATTCTGTGGACTAATCACCCACAAATCAGAAAAACTATCTGATTCGAGAAACGAATATAGGCCTCGGACAAAAGAGGTCTATAGACGTCCTATGCTCCACATAAGGAGATAAAAGGTGTCGTTATATATATGTATATGTATGTATAATGTCAAATTGAGCTACATGTTAAATTGAGATATATGTTATATATATATATATGTATAATGTCAAATTGAGCTTGACATTAAAAATCTATAAGGTAAAGTTTCCTAAAAAAATACAATAAATTAAAAAACAATATTAAACAAAGTATCTTTCAAAATTATAATGCACGCGAATACACACAACTATATAAATATAGGAAATAAAAGCTCAAAATGGTCAAGTTGAATAGTTATATACTTAAATAATATTTTATAACATTATACTTAAATATGCAGTTAAATGAGCATTTTATATGCGCATATCCAATATATAATATATTCTACACAAACTATTTCAATTTAATTTCTAATCTTGAATTCTAACAGAACTAGAATAGTATTATATGTATAATATTAGTATTTAATATATCACAATTTATTAGATTGACTGTAATTTAATATTGTACAATATTGATGCTAATATTGATGTAATTTAATAATATTGATATGCGTATAGGAAGATATATTAATAAAATATTAATAATCTAAAATCTTTAAAATAATTTTATTGCACAAAATAGTAATATAAATTAAGGAATACCATATTTGCTATTTTTAAACTGAAATTAAATATATTTTGAAATCAAAATGAAGTATAAATATTAGTCTATACATTTTTTGTCAAAGATACTTTATGTTGAGGTGATTTATCTTGATATAATTTTTCGCAATGTGTGTGTTTCGAATCAACGAAAACTAACACGATGAAAACTTTATGCGCGGTCATGGTCACAATCATTAATGGCTTCCGTATTTGAGGTGCTTCTTGCGAGACTTATAAATCGACTCTACCAGAATTACTTTTACAGTTGTGAACTCTCTCTACAGTTTGTACTGATCATTTATTTAGCATCACTATGAAACTTTACAAATAATCATCATATAATTCTTGCAGTTCTCATCTTCATTTGCAATATGAAAATGACATCCATAACGGAGAACAGGGACATTATGGTGCAAAAAAATTTGTCAGAATGGTGGAGCAAAGAAACCGAATACATTTTCCAGAGAATTGAGAGATGGGCGGCCTTTGCACGTGGTTACAATCGTTTTCAATCGCAAAGGTGAGAGTGAGTGAGTGAGACAGAGAGAGAGAGAGAGAGAGAGAGAGAGAGAGAGACTTCCGATAATTTTTATTATTTAAAAAAGTCTGCTAAAGATTATATATAATAATAAACAACTAGATATACAAATCTAATTCAATATGTATAAAAAAGTAATGTTTCTAATACAAACAAAAATAAATCAGGTGGTTCAAGACTCAGCAAATAATTCAAAATAACTGGAACATGTTTTCCAACGAAACTCCGACACAACTGCATAGTCTCAAACAATCCAAATGGAAATTGTCTCCGGAGGAGATTAAAATAAACTGCTGCGGTACTTTCAATTATCAATCAAACAGTAAGCTGGACAGCAACTGTTTAGAAACATACCAGTATGACCATAGCATCTACTTCAAGACTATCGGGGATATTATAAATGATAAGAGACATCAAAATCAGAATTAGGACGATGCATTTATCAGCAGCGATGAGTAAATTGAGAGGGATGCTATAGAACTCACCGAACCGATTTCTAATAAATCATTTTACAAAGAAATCAATAATGTTTCAAATACTGTTGTTGAACAGAGCAGAGCGACGTAAAATATCTGGCCAATCGTGTATCTACTCAAATTTAACCCGAATCTGATAAATTATCGAAGAACAGACAAGTGGCTCTCTCGTTTGGCTGAAGGTAATCATAGACGAGATAGAAGGCAAATGAAGAACAATAATATAATATCTTTAGATAATTTAGTGAATAAAATGGATAAGGCAGATCAAAAAGATGATATAAACTATTTAAAGAATCAGGAAAGAAGCACTTTTCGGTCGTTCCAAAAAAAATTAACGATCTTCCATGAATCCGTGGGGATTATCAATTGTCAATGAAAACAACGTTGTTCGGGAGTTCTTTTAAATTAGGTACACTAATAATTTCGTTGTAGCCAGCAACTCTTCAAAAGATCAATAAAAGTAAAAAACGTCGAGCGGAAAAATTTGCATATATATATATATATATATAAACGCATGAAGGTTTTAATCAATAAATTGTTCAATTTTTTAAAATGAATCGCAATTTACATTGGTTTTATTAGTTAAAATGTATATGTTTTTAATTTTTTTCTGTATGTCCTTTCCGTTATTTTTTATTAATATGCATAAAATTATACATTTTTTAAATATTACATTTTAATCATTTATTTACTTTATCTGTTATTTTTTTTTTTTTTAAATTTTTGAATTCACAGAACAAGAAAATAGAATAAAAACTTAACAATCCAAGATAAAATAGAAAATAGAATACTACAAATTTCAATAAAAAACAAGATATTTAAAAGTAAATTTTTTTATTGTAACGAAATTGTTACAAGCTTTATAAATTATTGAATATTGAAAATGATGTCCAAGCATGAAAAATCTAAATATTGCGCCTTTAAACAATAAAATGTTATTAATGACGAAAGAATTTATTAAGTCATTTATAGAGTTGCAAAATACATATATTAATATACAAACTATGAGAATTAAAGGGCTTTCGACCTCTAATCTGTAGAAAATATTGCATATTTGCAATATAAATAGTTAAATGACAGTAATTAAGAGATTTATGTATAACCTTTCTGCAATAAATTATCATTATAAAATATTATCACTTTTTGAATAATTATCACATGAAACGCTGTGCGCAATATTTAATCTTTTACAGTTAGTGAAATTTCAGACAGACAATTTTTGTATTTATAACAATATCTTTATTAAATTTTAAATAAATCATATATACATATTAGGATTTAATTATTCTAATAAAAAAAATATTTCTATCAAGTACTTCATACTGTAAATGCTTTGTATCTTTTGATTAATCAAAATTTTTTCTTCTCATTAATCAACAAAGTATTTGCAGCGTTAAATAATCACACCCATAATCTCCTCATTTTTTAATGCAAATTATACTATAATACTATAATCAGGGAATGGAAGTAACTCGTTACTTGTAACGAAGTTACAGTTACAAGTTACTTTTTTGGTAACTTTACTGGTAACTGCGTTACTTTCTTTTTTTGGTAACTGATGTAACGGTAACGAGTTACATTTTTTGGGTAACGGTAACGAAATTTACAGTTACTTTTGTCGTTACTTTGCACACGATTGAAATAAGACTTGAAAGCCCTTAGACATTCGGCCGTTATGATTCAGTAATTATTTTACACTTCTATCTTCTATTTAATACATAGGACATACAAATATTTCAGTTTGCTGCATATTTGACAGGTTTTAGAATTACAAAATTGTGTTTAAAAAAAATTAAAAAATAAATTAAATAATAGTAAAATGAGAAGGACTACGAACCCAAAAGCGAAACAGTTTAAAAGACGATGACAATAAGTGTGGAAACGTCGTTTGTTTTTATCTTGTTTTATCCATGTTGTTGTTCTAATATATATTTATACATTTAATTACATTGTCATCGTCGTTCTTATCGGAAATAAACTGTTTCATTTTTGGCTCGTAACCCTTCTCATTTTACTTTTATTTAATTTATTATTTGAGCCATTCTACATTGTTTTTTTTTTTTTAATAAAACTATATATATATTTGTCAGTATTACATATAAAAAAAAATGCAAAAGTACATTTTTAAATTGATTTTAAAAAAGTAACGGAAAAGTAACGAAAAGTTATTTTTCAAGTAACGGTAACTGTAACGAGTTACTTTTAAAAAGCGATAACTGTAACTGTAACTAGTTACATTTTTTACTCGGTAACGAGTAACTGTAACTAGTTACTTTTAAAAAGTAACTTTCCATTCCCTGACTATAATTAACAATTAACATCAATAAAGATTTAAAGAATCTTAAGAAGTTTATTTATCCTAATAAAAAAGTTAATAAAAAAATGATTGAGAACGAGATATATATACAGGATTTCTATCAAAATTTGTATCGTTTTCTATAAAACTATTAATTTCTGTTGTCGACCTCGCAAGCATCACGATTAATCGGATAAGAAATCTTATATTGTATTTTATCGGATTCTATGAAATTTGTACAATAAGATTCTTATAAGATTTGATTTAAATTAGTGAATTCACGAACCAAATTTCATATTTAAAGCAATAGGATTTTTCGTCTATTATTCTCTATTAACTTTTTTTACCAGAGTAAACTCTTTTACACGTTATTTATCGAATAGTTATGTGATATATTTGCTGATTTATCAGAAATTATTATAATAAAGGAAATTGATACCAGTACAGCACTCAATATTTTATTCTTATCTGGGATATTCCAAGAAAATATCGTAAAATGTTATAAAATTTCATAGGATATTATAAAATATTCTATCAATATCTTAAGATATCCTACAATATTCAAATCCTTCCACCGCATAACATATAGAAATATCTTAAGAATGCCCAGAATACAGCAAAGGTTTGCAGTTGAAGAGTGTCAGAACTATAAAAGATTAGAAGCAAAAATATAGCTATACTTTTTGACACAAATAATACGACTATGTGTCAAAATAAGACATGTCAGTAACTATAATAGGCTATAAGGACATCTTTTGGAAATTCTGTACTGTCGATATAGAGGATGGCTGAAGTTGTGTAGGTTGCAATATTGAAAATTTTATAATAAAATTTATACTTATGATATATCTCTCATGGAGTTTTTTGGATATCTCGTGAATATCATCTAATCTAAGATGTCCATGAGAGACTTCTACATGCAGACACTTATACATCTCCTGGATATCCATTGGATAACTGGGCCATCCACGAATATCACAAGATTATCGCGATATCCCAAAATGACGTCCGTTTAACATCCCTAGGATAAAGTGTGCTATGTGGGGTCTCTCGAAGAAGAGAGCCTCTATATGTTCTAAGATAGAATTTATATGACATTAAGGATACGCACACTTGCTTCCCTTACATATTGGAGGGTTCAGATAAGGGTAGTTTCCAACGTTGCCACAGCATTTTTACAGGGTAGCGCGCATGCACCGCGGTTGAGAGAAGAAGGGCAGGAGCATACACCCAAAATATAGATGTATTCACAAATCTTCTTGCGATCGATCGAGCGGACTCTGGTCACTGCTCATGTGAGACCTATGTAGTGCGTAATAGGTTATACTTTATTTGTATCGAAAGGGTCTTGTCACAAGCAAAGGAAGAAAACATATTTCACACGATGACAAAAATTACGGAATTTCGTGACCAGGACGAAGATCCTGCAGATATTTTTCTATGTCATCTATTTTGTAAGCAGAAACCTCCATTACCATATTATCATATATATACGTATAACGCTCATAGCCCTGCTTAAAATTTTCTATAAAAAACTATAGGAACATATAGAGTTTGTATAGGCATTTATAGTTTTTAATAGTTTCTATAGTAGCGCACGAGAGCGACTATAGAAGCTCTACAGTTATCAATAAGATTCCATGAGTATAATAATAGAAAACTATTGCGGATTAGGATTTACCGATTCAAAACGCTCATTAAAAACTATAGAATTTTCTTGATAGTTTTCTATAGAAAATTTTAAGCAGGGAGGACTCCTTAATTATCAGAATACTCACACAGCACATATTATCCTGAAAGGATATCCCAAATTGTTCCATATTGACAAAAGCGATTCCATCCCTTTATTCCTATATTTCCTATAATGTGATAATAATGAAATGTAATAGCGATCTCTAAAAAAATCTACGATCGCTAGAGAGAGAGGATTAAAAGTTTTCAACTTCTGTAATTTGTATGAAATACTTATTATCCGTATAAGTAATTAATAGACAGTACATACTTTTATTCAAATTAAAGAGATTCATATATGTATCCTATTGAGATATATAATCTTCACACACTGTGCGCCATATCGAATCTTTTATGGATAGTCTAAAATTTCAGATCTTATTACAAATCATTTTTATATCTATGACAACGCTTTTTACAATTATAATATAACAAATACTTTATTAAAAAGTTATTCTAATAAAAATATGAAAAAAAAATTTTACCTTAATTATCAAGTGCGCGCTCATATGTCAATACAAGCTTTTGACAATACAAGTGTAATTTTGAATTTATGTTGTTTTTACTATCAGAAGACGCGGTAGTGTCTCTGGCCACGTTCAAAAAAGCTTTATATTATTTATGTCATCCCTCACATTTCAATTTAGTATATATATATTAAGGTTCAATTATTCTAATAAAGAAATTACTACTGCCATGATATCTTCAATTTTTTAATGCAATAAACTCTTAATTAACAACATCAATTTAGTACATATTAAAAAAAATTCAATTATTCTAACAAAATTACTACTGTCATAATGTCCTCAATTTTGTAATGTATGATAATGAATTTTTATCAACATCAATGGAATTTTAAAGAATCTTTCTTTTTTACGTTATGTATCGAATATTTATGTCATCCGTGATGTACTCGCTGATACATCAGCAATTATTCCAATAAAGGAAACTGTTACTATTTTAGCATTCAAAATTTCAATCCAGTAGAAACATTTAAGATAGGTATATGTCTCTGAAGTAAGAGAGGCTCTACCTCGGCCTTAACGACATTCTACTATAATTTCGTTTGACGTATACTTGTATGTGATATTTCCGGTACATATATGTATAGAATTGTTCAGATAAGGGGAGTTCCCACTATAGCTACACCATTCTCGCGGGGTAGAGCGCATGCACCGGTTAAAATTGTAGAGAGAGGGGCAGGAGCCACGCACGCAACACGTATTCGCAAATCCTCTTGCAAATCGATTGCACGAACTTGCTCAGGTGAAACTGGTAGTGCGTAATAACCCGTACCCCGACTATATCGAAAGGGTTTCATCGCAAGCAAATAAACGAAAGACGGACATTGCAACATGAGCAAAGCTCGACTGGAGACCGTGGCCACGATGACCTGCATGAAGACTCTGCTAATGCTCTTCAATTTCATCTTCTGGGTAAGCAGAAACCTTTAAAACCTCTCAACATTGGGTCAATTATGGAATGGTTATATTCTTATCACGTATATATCCTGGTCCTACCCAACTGTTGCACAATAATTGATTAGCGTCTTAATACCGGGTATTAACTGAATTTGTTTATTTCACGAGGGACAGGGGAATATACATAATAATGATCCGTTATCAATGTCTAATTTCCTGCACGAAATAAAGTCGAGCAACTGGGGAAAATAAGTAACCAAGCGGTAAATGCGCAGCGATTTGATGGACATGACCTTGAATGTTATGCCCGTTTAGATAATGTGAAAAGCTCTTAAATAAATAATATTAAATAACAAGTATAATAATATTAATATTATTATATGATACAAAAAAAATTTTGAATATTTATGAATTCTTCAAAATTTAAGAATATGCAATTTTAAATTGAAACGCGTCCACATAGTTACACGCGCGCGCGCGCACACATATATATTTATAATATACAGTATAATAGTAAAGGATAAATAATGAAATTTTTAACTTCTATCAAAGCAAATTAAAAAGGTAATGTACTTATGCATAAATTAAATTCTACATATGTGTGTAAAGTTTTTATTTGTTTATATTTGATGTAAAATATAATAAAAATATATATCATATATGAAAATATATTTTTTTTATTTTTGATTTGTGAGTTATGTGACATTTTGATAAATTATACATTTCTATCATTTATATTTAGCCTTGAACCTTTGAACCAATTCAGAAATTTCAAGCGCGTTAATTATATATGGCTTATCTGCAGACCACACGTTCGTAAACATATGAATACATACGCGACTATTATCGCTTCTCTAACATTATAGTAACCATTACTTTTGTCAGCTTAAAAATATTATTGTCATCAAACTGATGATTACTAAATCATTCATAATATCTCTCGATTATGTGTGTGTGTGTGTCGATATTATTTTATTATATATTCTTTAATTAATGGTGAATTCGATCATTTACATTATACTGGATTAGTACGCATTAAAAAGACTACTTTATATATTCTATGAACACAATAGCATAATATGAACTACGACAATATGAGATGACATATATTTATTAAGTAATGATGATATCATTATTAAATATTTAATTGTTCAAAATATTTATAAGCTTTTACATCTGTTTCGCTAATTTTATCATGTGTAACATTTTTTGATATTCATTATTTAAATATAATGCAAATTACCTTTAATTATTGGATCCTAGAGGCACTTGGATCCACTCTAGGACTAAGTTCATTAGAGGTCAAATTTAATGCAGAATTAATGCAAATAACTGAATTCGTTATAATAAAGATTTTACATCTAAGATATGCACAATTAATATGTACCTTCGAACATGACGTTCATACATTATTTCGCACAGCATTATACTCCAAATACTCCAATGATGGAGATCGATATACCACAGAGAAACTTATTTTAAGATACAAATTTTTATCAGAACCAATGGTCTAATAGTAATTATTTATTAATAAGCGCGCTTTTTTCTTATAGTTGAAGGGCTCTCTAAATAAACGTTGCAATTATTTTTATCATAATATTTACATGTAGTGGTTTGTTTTATTGAAAAAGTGATATTTTAATGGGAAAACGCGCACGTTGCTTGTTTTTGCTGTTCTTTTTTTATTTTCTGTATTTATTTTACAATTTAAGAAATGTTGGATGCAACGTTCTTTCCGGAAACCCTTTTTTAATTTTTTTTCAAAAACAATTAGACAATTCGAATTACTTCGTGATAAATACATTATTCGGCGAGGAGTTCCTTGATGTTTTGTATGTTTTTTTCAGGCGTCTGGAGTGTTGATGTTATGCATCGGCATATGGATGCGCATCCAGCTGCGAGATTATATGAATATGAGCGTGCAGGGCAGCGGAGCCGCTTTGCTGGCACTTTCGAGTTTAGGTGCGGTGTTAGCTGTCGCAGCGGTCCTCGCCTGTTGCTGCACCGCACGCGGTCATCCTGCTCTCCTGTATTTGGTAGGCACTCTCGATCTATTTCAGAGTTTAGAAATCTATTGATTTCATAATTTATATAATTAAGGATCCGTACTAAGAACACGTGTATGTATCACACCTACGCGTTGTATAAATAGAATTCCGTCGTGAATTAAAGTCGGCTTCAGGTCCCTCAGGAACGACAGGATGAAGTTACAAACCGATACTCGATGTTACTATCATTATTGAGGCCCTTAGGGAGAAAAACGATACTCGCTGCGTTTGCGTAATATTATTATAGGTATCTTAACAAATTTTATTGTAAATGTGTGTGTGCGCGAAAGTTGCAAATCTGCAACACTTGGAATTATTTATACTTTTAAATCGGAACCATGTTGAGTATTTTGGAATTGAAAATTAGCGAAATAAAGGCGCGTCTCAGAGGTTCATGGAAAATAATACTTCCGATTAAAGTGTGTACAGCAATAATGAATATCTCGACGAGTAGAAAATCTCTAGTAGTAGAGAAATAATCGATTTACCTTTATAACGCTTTTCTTTTCGTTTGTATAGTACGGTGCGTTCCTAGCCGTTGTGGCCTTGCTGGAACTTGGCGCGGGCGCGTCGGTTTACGCTTATCGCACGAGCTTGAACGAGGGATTTGATCAAGGTCTGAACGAGAGCATGGCTGCCTATGGACAGGATAATTCCAAGAGCAGTCACATCGATACCATGCAATCAACTGTGAGTATCTTCATATAGTATCACCCTCAGTTATTCCGAATGTCAATTGAATGTCGATTGACTCGATTGTTCGAACTGATTAGAGGATAATTGAACATTCGTATTTCAATATATGGAAATAATTACAACAGATGAAGTAAGAGAGATGAAAACTTGTTCATTTTTCATTCTTTGCGACGTGCAGTTGCGTTGTGTCGTATATTTAAAAAAAATTAATGAATTACAGTTGCATTGCTGCGGGAATCGTGGTTATGCTGATTGGCTCAATCTGGATCCGCAAAAGAATCCAGTTGTCCCTATGTCCTGCTGCAAAGTGCCACTGGATAGCTGCGATACGCGGGATGTAGAGGACATTTATACCGAGGTAACATTTTATTAATTATTTAAATTTTTGTAAGACAGAGAAAAAGAGAAAGAAAGACACAGAAAAAAAGAAAAAAAATTTTTATTTATAATATATCACAGAATGCTTAAAATACAAAGTAGTGAATTATTAACATATTGACTATCTTGGTGTTTATTCATTATGGGCGTCTTAATGATTATTAATAATAAACTAATAAAATTTTGTAAAAAAATACTTGTAAAAGTAAATATCTGATATAAATTTTCGAATGATAAAATACAAAGCATACAATTAAACGTACTATCTATCAGGGGATTATTTAATCAGTCTTGTTTAATTATTAAATAATATTTTATTTTAAGATTTTATTTATTATATGCATATTTTTAATGAAAATTCTATCATACCTAATAATAGTAAGTCATAAAATTTGCTGAGCAGTCGTGTTAAAATTTTAATTGCTATCTCGTAGTAATTGACAATTACAATTCGTAATAGAAACTAAGAAAGGAATATTAAACGTAATAGAAATTTAAAAAAATATAATGAATAAAAAAAGATAGAAAAGAGGATAATTGAATGAGAAATTGATGTCAAATCTGAGCAGCTCTTTTTTTATTTATTTTTTGTTTGTTTTTTCTTGGGGAGGAGTTTCTATAATTCTTTTCACTCTTTTTTTTTTTACAGGGATGTTACAATCGCGTGCTGGATTTCATAAATAGCAACATTGGTCTGGTGGCCGGTACAGCGATCGGCGTAGCTTTTTTCCCACTAGTCGGTATCTTCCTAGCATGTTGTCTAGCCAGCAATATCAATAAGGCTGAGTATGAGCAGGTTGCTTAGGCATGGCACTTGCGCAAACTGCAACGACGGTCCTATCAGAAAACAAAGCCTGTATCGCTAATGACGGCGAGCATGTATGATTTAATGGGAACACGGAAATGATCTCAATCGAGGCAAGAACGCACTTTACTTCGATTTTAATTGACAATTTGGTACGAAAATTTATTAAAAATTTATAATATGAGATCCACTTGAAGTTATATCTAATGGATCTTATACAAAATTATGTTTTTTATTTGCATTATTTGCATTATTCTTCTCTACAACCTTTTATAATTTTTATTGTACTTAAGCTTTCGATTAAATTTGTGCTTTCATGTTCTACGAATCATTCCAATCAAAATTAATATAAATTATATCGAATATTTACTTGATATCATTACAAGACGTAATAATCTTCTCATACATTCAGAACTTATTTGAAGATTAATTTTTAAATATATTTCATACAATAATTAAAAATAACATATACAGATCTTAATATAGATACAGATTACTTAAAATCTTTAAACAAAAGAAAAGCATTTTTATAAACTTAACATGTTACCAGACAGAAGAGAATACGAAATATACTAATTTGAGACTAATAATATGTATTCAATTTAGTGACTCGTGTCAATGATCTGTTCTGTTTAGCTGTAAAAGAAGAGCTAAACCATGTAAAAAATGGAGCTGACAAGAACAGAGCATTGGCTCGGTATCGAATCGAGTCAGTAAATCAAATACGCTAAAATATAGTATCTAATGAGTAAGTTTCTTTCATTTAGATTTGTCATTTCAAGATAGTGAAAGAAAATGTGTAATATGATTTATGAAACTTTTTTAATGTTAAAAAACGTATGAGAGAGAGAGAGAGAGAGAGAGAGAAAGAGAGATATCTTATAAATTATTGAACAAAACATTATAACATATTCTTTTGCACGAGAAGATTAAATAATGTTGTAGAATGCGAACAACGCATAACTAACATTTTTACGGATCAACAATAAAAATGGTTTGATTACTGCTAACTTTAAAAATATCGAATTGCATTCTCATTGTACAAAAAGTTTTGATTCAGATATGAGTTCTAAAATTTGAAAATCAAATGACGTGTGTGTATACATATATATATATATTAGGGTGTATTTTCAAAAATTTTACGGAGTAGCGATAAAATGATAGTTTAATATGCACTATTCACGAAAATTGATATAAAAAAAATTTAAAAAAATATCTAGCATTCGCGCACGCGCCTCCAATACAGCGTTTTTTGACGTTTTTTTATTCATCTCTCCGTGACTTAGTCATTTTTCAACTTTTTTTTAATTTGTGCCCAGAGTATGTACCTTTCAAACCCATATCACAAAAAATTTTTTGAAATTTTTCTGAGCCCTGGAAAAATCGCTAAATATGACCACTTTTGATCTAATTAATGGTTAATTATAATTTAATACAATGTATCATATAGCGATTTTCACTGGCCGCATTAGTGTGGCATAATGTGCACTGAATGTATCTCTGGATGCGTTCTTTTTTCGTTCAGTTCAGTATTCAGTTCAGTACTCACTTTTCTCGAAAAATGGGACGTGATAGAGGAATTCTCCTAGTGCCATCGTTTTCAGCGCAAAAAAATCTACTAAAATCACCCCTACCCATTCTTGCAACTGACAAAAGTGAAATTTCGCAGGTCTGTGTTATTAACCATTAATTTGATCAAACGCGGTCATATTTAGCGATTTTTCAAGGGCTCAGAAAAATTTCAAAAAATTTTTTGTGATATGGGTTTGGAAGGTACATACTCTGGGCACAAATTAAAAAAAAAAAAGAAAAGTTGAAAAATGACTAAGTTATGGAGAGGTGAATAAAAAAAACGCTGTATTGGAAGCGCGTGCGCGAATGCTAGATATTTTTTTTAATTTTTTTTGTATCAATTTTCGTGAATAGTGCATACTGAACTATCGTTTTATCGCTACTCCGTAAAATTTTCGAAAATTCGATACACCCTAATATATATATATATATATATGCATACATATAATATATTATATATGGTATATAGTACATATACATATACATACATTCATACACACATACACACTGATACATATATATGAAGATAGAACAAAACATAAAAATATGCTGACAGTATAAATAATTATTTTTATCGATAGAATCATAATGCGAAGAATAGTTACGATAGAGTTCATTTCACGAATGCCTGTGTATGACAACGATATGGTGAGAAAGATAAAACAAACTTCTACATTTTTTAATGTTCTATGAACCTTTTATAAATATAGCAACGATTTTTTCTCTTCGCATCTAAAGCCTATCGCATATGAAATGCATAATAGTGCATAAACATAATATAAGACCATTGAACCCATGAGCATCCAGCATAAAGTTGCCATATTGATTTACATAACATGCTTATTATGCTCTGTTATGCATTTCATGTGTGATAGGCTTTATAGTCTCTTACAAACTCGTACTCCATAAGTCTTTAAATCAAATTCTTCATATTCTTGAATCTTCCATATTTCCATTTTCATAATTCATTAGCATTCTTAAAAATTCTATATAGTCTATGTATAATATTATATAGAGTCACATGTATTGTCTTCTACAAAATCCGCCTTTAAATATTTAATCATGATTCATTGTGCTTTTAAGATCGATGATGTCCTTATTTCATATAAATTGGCTTTAATTTTGTTTTAATAAATAAAAAATAAAATCAGACAATCAACAGAATCAGTATTAAATATACATAAAATGGAAATAAAATGTCTATTTTGATTTGTTACCGAATGAAAATAGTGAAACAAGCAAACATTTTCTTCTTATAAAATGTTACTTTATATCCTATTACATATAATATTTAACAATTAATTTAATTTTATATAAATATTAATTTAATTTAGTTTTAACTTTTTTGTTGCAAAATTAAAAAATAAAAAAATATATAATAAAAAATAAACAATATAAATAAATATAACAGTCGAACGTAACTGACATAATTATACGATCTTCTTAAATAAATGGCAAGACATAAATGTAAATTCGTTTGAAGAGAGAGAGAGAGAGAGAGAGAGAGAGAGAGAGAGAAAGAGGCATAAATATTGCGCTGTTCAAGCAAATGGTTCACAAATTGATATTATAAATGAATTCCCTCCAAAACAAAAATCATATATTCAATTAATTTTGTATTATATATTTGTATAATTCTTTTCTTGAAATAAGTGGGAATAATAATCCAGTTAATTTAAGTAGAAATTTATTTAATTTATTCGGAAAAAAAATATTGAAATGAGAAATGTTTCAAATAACGTAAAATCTTCTAAAAAGAATCCACATAGTAAAAGATAAAAAAAAGTTTACGAGTTCCATTAGTCCAATTCTGTGATACCTTCTAAATTTTTCTGCTTTTTAAACTTTTGAAATATAACTTGAAAAAAATATAATCTAAAAAATATCACGAAAACTTTTAGAAAATTAGACATTAATTATTTAAATATTTTCTAATCTTTTGTATCATTGATTTACATTGTTTAATTCAAATATTATTGATCCACTTATCTTAATTCTTTACACTAATTATCACGTCGATAGTGATTCCAGCAAAACATTAGTATTATGTACATGTTATTTTAATTATCGAACAAAAAATAATCGAAGTTTATTACTGAGACTATACCGACAATTATTCCATGACAACTATTGTAATTATTTTTTATATATATAAAATGATTGTTGCGAAAAAAATTCCACGTTATATAAGTAATTGTGATTATATACATATAAACATTTTATTTCTTGAAGCAAGATTAAGATGTAACGTCCTATTACAAAACAAAATTTGATTATCTGTGTACTGTCATATTTCTATATATACATATATGATATGAAAGTTGAAATATAAATAACAGTTATTATGTTACATTGTGAAAAGAGATACACTCTGCTTAAAATTTTCTATAGAAAACTATTAAGAAAATTGTATAGTTTTTAATGAGCGTTTTGAATCGCGGTAAATCCCAATCCGCAATAATTTCGTATTATTATACTCATAGAATCTTATTGATAACTGTAGAGCTTCTATAGTCGCTCTCGTGAGCTACTATAGAAACTATTAAAAACTATAAATACCTATACAAACTCTATATATATGTTTCTATAGTTTTTTATAGAAAATTTTAAGCAGGGATACACATATATTGTGTACTATAAGAATTTCATATATAAAATAAAAAATCTTACAGAATATATGTATGTATATGTGTGTGTATAAATATATGCATATATGTACATATACATATATGTACGTTTATTTATTTATTATGGAAATTTAATGTATACAAAATTGATCATTTTTTCTATTTCTATTAGAAAAAAATGAAAAAGTGCTAAAACTACTTCAATTTGAAAAACTTGTTATATTATTTTTGCAGAGAATGGAAGTAACTCGTTACTTGTAACGAAGTTACAGTTACAAGTTACTTTTTTGGTAACTTTACTGGTAACTGCGTTACTTTCTTTTTTTGGTAACTGTAACTGTAACGAGTTATATTTTTTGGGTAACGGTAACGAAATTTACAGTTACTTTTGTCGTTACTTTGCACACGATTAAACACGGTTCGATTGGATACATGCTATCTATAGCGCTTATCAATAAGACTTGAAAGCCCTTAGACATTCGGCCGTTATGATTCAGTAATTATTTTACACTTCTATCTTCTATGTAATACATAGGACATACAAATATTTCAGTTTGCTGCATATTTTACAGGTTTTAGAATTACAAAATTGTGTTTAAAAAAAATTAAAAAATAAATTAAATAATAGTAAAATGAGAAGGGCTATGAACCCAAAAGGCGAAACAGTTTAAAAGACGATGACAATAAGTGTCGAAACGTCGTTTGTTTTTATCTTGTTTTATCTATGTATTGTTCTAATATATATTTATACATTTAATTACATTGTCATCGTCGTTCTTATCGGAAATAAACTGTTTCATTTTTGGCTCGTAACTCTTCTCATTTTAATTTTATTTAATTTATTATTTGAGCCATTCTACATTGTTTTTTTTTTTTTTAAAAAAAACTATATATTTGTCGCAGTATTACATATAAAAAAAAAAAATGCAAAAGTACATTTTTAAATTGATTTTAAAAAAGTAACGGAAAAGTAACGAAAAGTTATTTTTCAAGTAACGGTAACTGTAACGAGTTACTTTTAAAAAGCGATAACTGTAACTGTAACTAGTTACATTTTTTACTCGGTAACGAGTAACTGTAACTAGTTACTTTTAAAAAGTAACTTTCCATTCCCTGTATTTTTGTTATAACATATATTACATATTTTACGTTATCTTATGTATAAGTAGATATTATAATTCGATATAACTATTAAAATGTTCTATATAATATATTATTAATAAAAATATCAAACAAAATTAAACAAAAACAAGCCCGTTAATTGTCTTAACTTTGTACTATATAAATTATGTTATGAAAAATATATTACAGAATAAAAATTATTTTATAGACTAATCACGTTTATGATATACGTAAAAAAAAGGTCTAATGTCTAATATATAAGCATTATTTACAAATATTTTCCAACTATTCTCTGTAATGCGATGTCAAGGCTGTGTCGAGAATGTATTGTACATTGCGCAAACTCGGAGCCGAATCGATATCTATAATTGTTTACAATGTTACGGCTTTTACGTATGTTTATTGTGTGTATCACAAAATATGTGCATTTTGCAAAATGCACATATTCTGATGAGCCTTAAATAAAAGTCAATGAAATATAATTTTTTTATTATAATCGCCTAATAAAATAAATATTTATGTTCAAACCGATATATTTATCTTGATGATGATTTTATTTTCAGTTTTCATGTAATTTATTTATTA